TGTAGTCTGTGGGACTTGAACTGGCAACCCTCCGGTTCCCAAGCCAAGTCCCTACAGACTGAGCTACTGCCGCCCGTTGAATCATAGTGATAGAAGACTACCTGGCCATCTGCATGCCTGCTCCCCCCTGGCCTTCTTTTCGCCTGGATGAGCATGCGTGATGCAAAAGCTACAGTTCTCTCTGACCATCTGGATGTAGTTGAGTGAGGACTGCACCCAGGACATAATCAGATGCGCCAATTGTAACCACAGGAGGCAGCTCTGCGTTAAACAGGAAGAGTACAGGGCTTAACCGTTTCAAAGCTCCTCTTAGCCTCAGGCATCCATGTGAACATTTCAGATACATGGAGAATTGCTGGCAGGGGCTCAACAACTGCAGCATAGTCCAGTATTAACTAGGTGGAGGTGCCTGAGCAACGGCATTCACATGTAAGGTCCTTTTCTGGCACTGTAGGCCCCAAGAAGACAGTTCTTTTTTATGATGCTGCATTTTGTGAGGCTTTATTCCTCCACCCTAGCTTTGGGTATGGTCAGCAGTACCTCCAGTAGTAAGCGCTCCCTGATATGCGTTGAATTTGTCTTTTTAATGAGTCTTCTATAGCTTCAAACTTACATGTTGTAACCAGTAGCAAAGTGTCTACAGTCTCAATTAGGCCCTGTCTGAATTAGTAAAATTCAACTACATAGTTCAATTTCGATATAAAAAAACTAAGACATAATGTTGCTTTTGTCTTTGTTGCCTTTTCGTCTTGGTTTTCTTGAAAGACTTGAAAGAAGACTCTGAGCCCTGATATATAGTGGTGTTTTTTTGGTGTCTATGGTGATGTAGCTAGTTACATTTCAGGAGCAGCAGCTTTGTAGCAAGTGCAGACCACTACCAGGTCAAGATTGACAATTCATCTGATAAATTAAAAAGATGGACATACGATTTCAATATGTTGTGTTATATATTATTATACATCATATTTAAGTATAATAATACACATAATGATAGGGAAAGACAGTGGATCAGTAATTGAGTTTCACCTCATCTTCCCTCAAATTTTCTGAGGCACCCTGGCACACCCTGGCGGCCCCCACTTCTTTAAAAAACGAATTTTTCATGAGCTGATAAAGAAGGTAAATAACACCTACCATCTGTAAGATATAAAGAGATTCCTGCAGACAAAATGTAATTCAAATACTGAATGGCCTTGAGTGGAAAAGTAGAAAAAAGTGTGAAGCATCTTTTTTGGACAAAGGATATTGACTTATATTTCATATTAAGAGATATTCAGTGGAGTTTGAGAGACCGAGGTCAACAAAGTGAACTTAAGCTTATTCTGTTTCTCATTTCCCATTCACAGCATAACAGAACAAAAAGCTTTTTTCATATAATGGAAAATACACGGAAATATAACAGAAAAAGAAATAGGAAGTTGTAAAGGTATGTGAGGAGAGTGGTCTAGCACTTGACCTGGATTTATTTCAGATATCCCACTTTTCTCAGTGAAAACAAACAGTGATCCAAAATCAAACTATTCTACAAGTGGAAATTATTTACTTTTAAAGGAAAATGTGTCATATGAAGCAAATTTTCTACTTATTAGTTCAATAGCTTGCTAGTTTGACAAAACAGAAATTTTTTTCATTTCTATATTTATCTGGATACACTACACACACTAATCCAGACTTTGTTTTAATGAGTGATACTTTGCAAAAGGTGTTTAACTATGCATATGTGTGGTTACTGTGTATAAATAGTGTGTGTTCGTGTGTGTGTGCATGTGTAGATGGAGGTTGTCAGTACGAAGAGAGAGTCAGATCTCTGTCCTGGAGTGAAAGTCAATGTTGGTGCTGTTCTGCTGTAGAAGGCTCTCTGTCATCCCTTTTTTTCCACTTTCCACAGAGGAAATGCTTGCCATTTCAACGGGAGATGATCACAAACGGTTTCTCTCACTGAGAGGAGCTCGACTGCAGAGCCTTTAGCGACTAATGTTACGCCACACAAACAGAATTAGCTGTAGCTCCAGAGACTGAAAGCATTTCTCTAGTTTGATCAGTTTTGTTTTCTACCAGCATCCATCTGTTATTATCTGTTATTTCTCTTGTATTCTGCAGCTGTTAGTTGTTATTATCAAAGACAATGTTGTGATGCTTCAAAACTGGAGCAATTATCTTTCTCTGTTCATGATGAAGCTGGAACATTAGTTCTTACCAAGCAGTAAGGCAAGAGGGATATCAAACAGATATTGTTTTCTTGTTTCTATCTCTTACTAGCCAGTGAGAAGCACTTCCTGAGGCTCAATTTTTTATTCTATTAATTTTCACCAGAAAATATCTAGATTTATGAAAGGAGCTGATTATTTTAAACTCATCTTCATTAATCTTATGTCCTCATGCATCCACCACCCTAGGAACACAACATTCATAATACTTAAAACTACTAAAATATGTAAATACTATGAAAAGTAACGAGAAACACGGACAAAAAAAAAGGAGCTGCTAATTATGCACCAGATTTGCCTAAAGTTTTTTCTGTAGTTTTTGTGCTTTTTTAAAAAATACTTTAATGTTGGAAATAAATATAATGCTGAAGGATATTCTGGGCTGCACATTTATTATTGTATGTAAAGTATTTATCATGTAAATAATCCCTATTATGCCAATTACCTATACCTGAACTTAATCCTGTACTACTTCTGAACAAGCAAAATACACAATCACGAAGAGATTAAGACATATTACGAAAAATGGCAGCCTCTTTTTTTTCAAAGAATTCCCTCCCCACTTCTCCCACCTGTTGCAGCTGCTGAATGAGATTTTAACATAAGATCCCTCCACAATACTGGAGTTTTCTTTTTTGAATACCAGAGCACGTGGAGAATACTGGTTGCCTTGGTGCAATTTATAGCTTCATGAATACTATTTGTTGATAAAGATATTTGAGTATGTGCAGCCTCTTCCTTGACACAAAGCCTTTAATCAAAGTTAACAAGCAGTGAAGGCTGGTTTATATAGTACAGGTTATAATTGACCTGTACTGTGTAAACCAGCCTTCACTCCTTGTTCTACCAATCACTGTTTTGCTTTCATATGTAGAAAATGCTCAGCATCTTTCTTTCTTTCTTTCTTTCTTTCTTTCTTTCTCCTCAAACAGCCCACATACAGCATGTGTTGTTGTGCCATCTGTTGCAGAAGACTCACTGTTTGTGACTGTGAATGTAGATTTAGTTGTAGTTGTGCACGTGGACGCTGGCATTCATGTGGATGTTCTATCTCTGACCCGAGACTGCTCTTACCTTTGACCTCTCCCAGCAATTCGTTGGCATTCAGGCGGTCAACGCGCTCCTTCCAATCCTTAGAGAGGAGTCTCTCCATGCAAGTTGGCTCTACAAAAACACCGAAAGTAATAAACTTCACTTTTGATGTAATTTAACAGCATACCACAAAAACTCTCCATCGTTTGAGACAAAAACTATTCACATTTGTAAACAGTTTCAGAAAGTAATTTCTGGGTTGTATGTTCAAACATGATGCATATACAACCTGTAGAGAGAAAGCTGTTTGGTAAGTTAACTAAAGACATCTAAGGATATCGCCCATCAACTGTGGAATACAAACAAGTGGAGGATAAGTGGGCAGTAAAAAAGAAGAGACAGAGCAGAAAGGAAAAGAGAAAAAAAGAACCCATTCTTATGAATTGATACATTTCTAAAATTGAGGAACCATATCCTCCTTCTTTTTCTGAAAAAAAAAAAAAAAAAAATTGCAGCAGCCATCCAGCTGACCAAATGAGAATGTCTGCATTGTTCTGAGACGTGGTCTTATTTGTGGCTGTCCTCTTTCTTACAATGTGTCTCATAGCCTCAGGATAATAGACATCAGAGACACATGGTCTCATAAGATTCATAAGGTCTCATTTGTTCAATTGAAGTCCTGCTGTGAACTTTACTTAAACAATGGGAACTTTTCAATTCTTCACTCAGCGGATAGCAGAACAGAGATACAGATATCCTTGTGCATGACTTCTCCATGAAAGAAGGACAGAAATGCACAAAGTAAAGTATGCAGGTTGTCAGGTATCAGTGGTGGAATGTAACTAAGTACATTTACAGACGTACAGTTTTGAGGCACTGGTACTTTATACTATATTAACTTCACTCAAATTAGAAGATGTTGCAGTTTTAGCGCCACTACATTGCAAATTAGTATTTTACTCATAAAACATATGAGGTAAAAAAATGTATGCATCGATACAGATTAAACTATCCATCTGTTTATAAAGTGGTTAAAACCAGCACCACCTCAACCATTAACAATCATCAACTAAAAAAATAACACAGCTATTCCGCTATATTACATACTTTTACTTTACTTTAACATGACACAATTAATCTTCTTAAATATGAAATCTAAATGCTTCTTCCACCACTTTCAGGTAGGCAATACCTGTGAGTGTATCTGACTGTGAAACTGCTCTCTTGTATGCAATGCACATATTCACACACTCCTCCAACTGCCCGAGTTTGTGTGTATACTCGGGATTTCGTGCCAGTGGACAGGCCACAGATGGAGTCACAGTCATGCAGGGCCCCATGCTGAAGCCTCAGTCACCAAGGACGTCAAAAACATACACACACAAAGGAGACATTCTTGGGTGCTGTGTGGAAAACATGCCCCTGAGGGCTTGCCTGATTTAGAATGGTTAAGTCAGACAATAGCTCATTTGTGGTTCCTTTATCCTAACAAAAGGAGCTATAGGTATTCATAAGGGCACATGGCCTATTGTGAATGGCTTAATGTTTAGTTTGTGCGTATGGGCCCATTGTGTGGTCAAGACATGCAGTCCGCCGCCTGAGCACAACTTCCTCATTGAGTCCATTAAAGCCTTGCATGTTTACAGTGGGATTATGATTGTTGTAAATAAGCTAATGCAGCCGTACAGATCACATGGGATCAATGTAAACAAAAGGGGGGGACAATGGGAGCAAGGGAGGGAGTGGTGGTAGACAGCTATACAACAAAGAAAAACTAATAGGAATAAAAACTATAGGAATAAATGATGGTGGTTTCCCATATTTGGGAAAAAACAGCGGGTATTTCCAGAGAGATGGCCAACATTGCAGTAAAATAAGGTAATTAATACAATTTCCCCACCCTCAGGACAATGGAATCCACCCAATTTTTCATAGATTTATTGGACAAGCGGCTCCACTGGATATGTATTTGTGTACATTTGGTTCAATGGGTGATATTTACAGCCAGTAAAGGGGGAATGCTGGAGGATGGGGTCAGGATGAGAGCCTTTTTGTCTCATCACAAGACCTAAAGACGCCGATGTGTACTTGAGCAGCAGGCCTCATATAAAACAAAATTAGGGAGCGCAATTTATGGGAGCACTTAAGAGAGGAAAATACAACCTGTAACTCCAAGATACATCTGCATAAGTCAGCCGTGTGTGTACTCTGATGCACAATTTATACCCCCCATACAGATAAACAGATCAGACATGGAGACAGTAGGGGATGGGAGGGGTGAGGTGTAAGTGGGGAGGAGAAGGAGAAGAGAAGAAGAGAGGGATGAGTGAGGATGAGAGGGAGATGTTTTACCCTAGATGGCTCTCTATCTGTCCCCGAGACCGAGTCGGGGATCAAGTGCTGTTTAGATTGGAGGGTGGATAAAAATTCCTCGCTGTCCGAACACCGACTTCTTTATCAAGTGGAGGAGAAATGCGGAAGATGGATGGTTTAAAGAAGAGGAAAGAGAGGGAGGATGAATGGGGTGAGGAGAGAAGGAAGGGTAGATGAAAAGAAAAGAGGGTAGGTGAGTTGAGGAGCAAGATGATGAAGATGCTTGTTTCATCTTGGATAAGAGAGTACAGAGAGTTGTATGAGCTTGAATGGACGGAGAAGAGAAATAAAAAAAAGTGAGGAAGTAAGAGTAGAAAAAAAAATTATTAATATTATATAATAATTGGAATAAAATGAAGAGGAGAGCTAGAAAAAGCAAGGAGAAAATTAAAAAATTTATGTATAAATACTGATATGTGGTCTATATACTGTGACTATTTACTGTGACTATATACTGTGTGTTTTATTCATATCATTTAAAACGCCAAAAGTTGATTATTCCTTTTATTCTCCTTGGCAAAAAAACAGACAAACACTAGAATTATTGGACATTTGTAATTGGTTGTAAACCAGACGGTTTCAACACCAGCAGAGAAAGACAGGGAGGAGAGACGGAGAGACAGAATGTTCTGAGTGATAAAATGCAGCAAGGGCGATACAGAAGGAAGGTAAAGGAGATAAGAAGTGGATAAAGTGAGAGAGTTGTAGTAAATCAGCGCTGAGGCAGCCAGTGAGCTAGCGAGTGTTTAGGGTAAACACATTTTTATCACCTGTCCCCACGCCAACCTGCCAAGAGACAGTGTTTTGGGTGTTTTACACGAGCCACAGACAACTTATTCTGTGTGTTACTGTGCGTGTGTGTGTGTGGCAGGCAAGCGTCAACACTCCCAAACAGCCACTGCCAAAAACAACACAGTGTGCCACAGGCTTCCACTCAGACTGAGTCTCTTCCCTCTTTCTCTTTCTGTTTCCATGTGTTTAAAAGTTTCTCATGGAATGAATTTTTCAATAAAATGTCCTTAATAGAGCACAATGGCAGCATATTACTATTTCAGAATTTTCTTTATATGATATCTTGAGTGTTTCTCAACATAGAAACACAGGAGTCTACAGGATAGTGTAGGTAGTCTACTATAGCCTATAGATAAAGTATGTAGAAATCACAATTTTTCAACTACTTTGGAATGGCTGATGTCTCTAAATGCTACAACAACCATGATCAGTGGTAAATTCAAAATGCCTGATTGTCAAAATCATTCACAGAATCTCAAAGTGAACCTGTTTAAAATGATCAGGTTTCAACGCAAGTGTAATTTCTGCCTTCCACAAGCTGTGTGGTGAACAAAAATCATTTAAGCTAGGTGACTGAATGTTTTATAACAAGGTGTTTAGAAGGTGGAGTTAAAGAAATTTGTACTTGCAAGAGTTAAATGTTAAGATTGATAACATTTTGTACGCTAAATATGAAGCTAGAGCTAACATGTGATTAGCTTAGCATAAAGACTGGAAGCAGTGGTAACAGACTGGTTCTGGACAATATAAAATAAATGTTATATTTTTGTTGTTTAATGCATACGCAAACCAAAATTTAAAGAAGTTCGTTTTACGGGACGTTACATGCTGGAACTATTTCATGGCCAGTGACTTCCTGTGATTTCCTGGTTGGCTAGCAGCCTCGTGGTGACGAGGCTTGAGAAAATCATTGCAAACGTAAATCTTTAATTTATGATTATGATTTTCTTAAGCAGCTGTGCATTTTTTGCACTGATATTCAAGAGGAAAACTTTAATATCCATTCGAGCCTTGGAAGTGGTCCAACTGTCATCTAGTGCTGTCAATGCAAAATACAAACAGGACTTTTATTTCCAGAACTCTATAAATGCTTAAAATAATTCTGTTATGGCATAGACTAAAAGTTACTGTTGCTTGCGGTGGAAAAGCTTCTTTTCTTGGAGCATTTTTTTGAATCAGTAAACTTGGCTTGTTCAATCTCATTGAACACCATCTGAAAAATGTCAAGAAAATTGTACCTGAAATATCATGTTATTTTTTTATTAAGACAAGTCTCCATTGGGGTTGTACAGTCATTGGCTACATATTTTTCTGTCTTTGGCTTCAGGTGAAAGCGTTAAATCTTACCATAATTCAAATACACAAAAGAACAATAACAAATCTTGGGAGACACTTTCCACTTTTCTGACATGCGTTGGGTACATTCAGGAAGCTAGTCTATTTGCTTTATAAGAGCCTACTTAATTCACATTTTATATTTGATGACATTTCAAAAGTTGCCCTGTAATTCACTTGACATTTAGATGGAAACATAGCCTAGCGTCTCTTTCACTCACTTTCTCTCACACACACAATGTACTGTGCCAAAGCTAAGGAAATCTTGAGTCTGCAGTCAAACGCCAAGGTAAAGAGAGAAAAACATTAATCTGAAAAATTAGTTAATGTTAAAAATAACAAAGCCCAATGTTCTAGTGGGTGCCTGATGTTTGTGTAACACATCTACGACTGAAAAATCCATTTCGTGTCTTAACTTCACTACTGAAAGTGTGTAAATGGAAGCTGACAGCTACACTTTGCACTTCCAAATTTATGTCAGTGGTGTGACTTCAGCTGCAGACCCCACAGCATCAGAGAAAGAAAGAAAGAAAGACAACAGGATAGAAAGCAACTGACTACACAGGTCTAATATAAATAATACAGAAACAAAGACAGACACAAAGACAGTAAGAGGAGTAGAAAGACAGCAA